GTGGGGTTTTGGGGTCCTGAAGCAGGTTGCAGAAAGAAGCCTGCAAGCTCTGAAGGGACTGTCCATGGCATTCGTTTTGCTGTGCTGTGCATAGCCTTTGCGCAAGCACAAGATGGAGGATGAGCTAAAGGCGTTCGTTTTGCTTTCCGGAGGTCCTGCTTGCCTCAAGGATAAGACACTAATTCACCTCCTGGAAGGCAATCAGATCTGGTGCACAGTGACTGGTCACCTGCAAGGAGCCAACGATGACTCAGAAGCAGTTTTTGTTGCAGACTCCCAAGGCCATCAGTTCCCTCACCCTGTGACCCTACAGAACCTGAGAATTGGCTATGGGACACGCCATGTCGGAGACCCCCTTATCTTTGCGATGATGCAAAGAAAGATCGACGTCACCGCGTTTATCCAGCAAGTTCAGCAGCCAGAAGTCCCTCCGCCACATGCCTATCCTTCTGCGCCTTCCACTAGGACATCCACTCCTTTTGCTGGCCTTGACCCAAACCAGACCCAATGGCAAGCAGAAGATTGGAGCAGAAAGATGAGAAGTGAGGCGGAGAAACCTGCTGAAGGTCTTTTCGACAACAATCTGTTCAGGGAGGCAATCCGGAAGTTTGCAGAGAAAGGCCCATTGACGGACTACATGAGATTGGTCCTGCAAGACTTTGCCGAGGAAGACCGATCCTGGAAGTCTAAAGCAAGAGGTTACTTGGAGATCTACGAAGAATCCGATCCTAAGGTGGCCAAAGAGATGGCTGCTGTCCTCTTCCTTGCAAACCGGATTCATTTTGTATCAGTGAGCTGCGAGTATATGGCCCATCAGTTTGCTGCTGAGTCCAGATCTATCATCAGGAAGTATGGAAAGAGTGAGACCTGGACTTTGGACATGATCAACGAAATGGAGTGTGCTATAAGAGAGAAATACTTCCATTTCAAGTCGCTAGCTGAGAAGGAGGTTGCGAAGAATGGAGCTATCCCTGGTTCGTCGCGCTTCAGGTAAGTCTACGTGTCATCTTGAGTGGCAAACCAGCTCAACCTTCTGCGATGAACAGTTCCAATCTCGATACCAATCAGTTAGTTCTAAGCTCATGTT